TGGCGTAGTATTATTCTTGTGCATTAGTGTTAAAGATACATCTCTCTCATCTAAAATCACTAATATTCTCTGAGTAGAGAATCTTCTCACAATCTTGAGCGATAAGGATCCTTGTGGTTAAAGTTATTTATTTGGTGTGTGTGTGTGTGTGTGTGTGTGTGTGTGTGTGTGTGTGTGTGTGTGTGTGTGTGTGTGTGTGTGTGTCCGATTTGCATCTGGGATAAAGTGTGAAAAATTTGCGGCTGCCAAAATTACATCGAGGCTCGAAGAAAAACTTGCACTTAGTTGCTTGTTTCATCATCCTTGACAACTCATTCACCAGGGGTCAGAAAATGCAGCAGAACAGCACAAAGTATGTCTTACTGGATAGCTGCAATAGCCACAATGTTACCTGTCTTTGGTATTTCCTTATAGCATGAGCGTAATATTTACTGAACAGAGTCATCGTCTGTAATCTTTGCCTGCTAAGTTTGTGCTGACCACTGCCATATTTCAGTATCAGGCTCTAAAATGTAAAAATGAATCTGAGAAGATTAAACATCCAATCATGACTCAGAAATTATGTTTCTACTAGATTTGCAGTTTGTTTTTATTTCTTCTGAATTAGAAGGTGAAGGAGGTGGAGTTTACAATGAGTAAGTGCTAATATAGAAGGACAGGTGTGTTAATGAAGCTATTTAATTAACCATTAATGGTATTGCATGCTGATATTTCAAACATTTGTTTCATTTGAGTGATTTAATTAATTCATTTGTTTCTTTGTTTGATTTTTCAGACTGAGTCACTGTAACCTCTCAGAGAGAAGCTATGATGCTCTGTCTTCAGTTCTCAACTCCCAGTCATCTTGTCTGAAAGAGCTGGACCTGAGTAACAATGACATACAGGATTCAGGAGTGAAGCTTTTGTCTGTTGCACTGCAGAATCCACATTGTACACTAGAAACTCTCAGGTCAGGATCCAAAAGTCCTCACTGCTGATCATTTAAAGTCTGAATCACATTATTCTATAAACAACGGAACATTTTAGAATTGGCAAGTGAAATTTTACTTACCTTTGGATAGCTTAGTAGCTTTTTAACTACTGTTTGAAGATTTTTTACAGTCACATGTGTTGTTTAATTGGTAAAAGAGAAGTATTTTTTGGTTCATGTTTTCTGTGGCATGTTTTGTTTGACACACCGATGAGCAGGCCATTTGCTCTACAGCAGTCAATGTAGCCAACAAGATGCCTGCTCCTTTCAGTTGTTCTGCTCACTGTATCGCTAATTCCCAATTTATCCAGACAGCAATGATGTAGGTCCTGATGGTGCTGTTGATAGTGAGGACACCCAGGTGGTCAGAGATGGGTTGGAAGGCCAGAATAATATTCAAAGCCCGAGTATGCATGAAAGAGCTAACTTCTCATTTCTCACTTTCCAGAGTAGAAAAGAGTCAGTGTCCCATCAATGGCAAGTATGTTAGAAATCAACATACTTGCCATAGTGCCAGGTCCACAAATACACAAATACATCAAATACATCATTCAGATTTTGCTACAATCCAAATATTCAATTTGATGAGTTTGTGAGCACGTTGAGCTCTTTTTCCACATTGACTGGTTTGGATATTTATTGTGGCAACATTTTTTTGCTGCAACTTCTGCAAGTTTCAGTCTATGGCCAGTAATTCTCGTCATACCGACACTGCTGACACAGTGGCTCCTCCCGATGTGCAAGATTGATCAGATGACTTAGATGCAATATCCATGTCATTTCTTGCCTAGTTTCTCCAGTTTACTGGTTCTGGTCAGTGGGGTGGACCCCTCCCTTGTTTCATGCATGCATGGGATGAAAACCGTTTCCAAATTAAATGGTATGGTGTCTACTGGGCATCAATTAAAATGCATATTCTATACTTTTTAATAATCTCCATATCCATATTCCAGGAAACATGATTGAAATTTCTTTCTTCCACCTGTGTAGAGAGATATTGGTTCATAGCTTGTTTGTTTGGTGGCTTGTTTTGTTTTTCATTTATATTAAATTATCTGTAATTTTAGAGCACATATTTTTAAAGTTTGATTTTTTAAAGTTACATTGTAATCGGATCCTGTGAGAATATGTCTTCATGTCTGCAGGACCTCCATAAATCAAAGCTTCAGTTTCATGTTTGGATTCATTTATAGAGAGCTGTTTATTCATATATCCGACTTTGATTTATGCTATTTTCTTGTTCACATTTATCAGAAGGTCAGATTTAGAATTTCCAGCTGAAAAACAAAACAAAACAAAAATAAATTGGGCAACTATTGTTGTGTTTCAAGGGGAGTATTTAGGTATTAAGTATTTAATATGCCCCAGAAGTTGTTAAAATACAACATTGCTCATGAAAAAAATATATATATCAAGACATCAATTAATAGAACAATATAAAGAGTGCTTAATAAATCCAAAATGTAAATATAATAAGGAAACATTTTCTGTATCTGTCCTTGCAGTGAAAGTGAAAGTGAAACAGATAAAGGGCTCTCCTGTCTGCCAAGATACTGGTCCAGGTTATTCATTTATCATCCATAGTCAGTCACCATGGTGTAAACTAGTCTGTAAGTGACTATGGCTAACGAGTAAATAGAGTTAAAAAAAATTAAAACTAATGCATGTGATCACTCTTATTTTATTTTCCTGTTTGCTTTCAGACCGCAACACACACAAATATTGACACAACACTCACAAGCATCGACAGAGGCCTGCAACAATTTATTGCAACAATGGTTGTTTGGGTTTAGTGCAAATAAGCTGCATCAAATTATTGCATCCATTGTTGTGTCCTTGGGCTAGACACTTTACCCTACCGCTGGTGTTGGCCAGAGGGGCCGACGACACGATAGGTCAGCCTCCACCAGTGTGTGAATGTGAGAGTGAATGAATAATGGAATTGTAAAGCGCTTTGGGTGCCTTGAAAAGCGCTATATAAATCCAATCCATTATCCATTATCATTATCATTCTAATGTCCGTTCGTCACCAGGTCTGTCAATTTCCCATTGAAGAGCCATGTGGTTCTCCAAGATCTTTTCCATATTGCGTTCAATAAGCACCGTCTGAGTGCTCACAGCTCTCCTCATCACTTTGATCATACTGGCTAGCCTTGTAGGGTTTTGAATGGCCGTGACCACTTTCTTTAATCTTTGAAAAGCCAGCTCTGATCAGCAAGAACCGTGTTATCATGGTTCTGAATAGGTGTAAATCTTCTATGTCCTTAATCAACAGTCCCGCCAGACACATGACGCACCACTGGTGCATCCCATCCATCGTGTATCCAGCAGGAAACATCCCTCCAGGAATATTGGGTTCTCCCAAACACAGGCTTCTTGTTGAGAAAAGGGTGTCAATTGCATTGAGGGACCAGTTGATGAAATCCATTTTCTTTAGGTTTTAGAGGACAAGACTGAGAGACTCTCTGAAGGTTAAAGTTAAATTGATGGGAAAACAAAAACCGTGGGAATTGTCTTTTATAAATAAAGCTAAATTAAATTGAATGGATAGAAATGTATAATAGATGATATTGTATCTGAGAAACAGAAAATCATTGCTCAAAGATGGATTGTTGTTTTCTGTGTCTGCAGTCTGTCAGGCTGTCTGATCACAGAGGAAGGCTGTACTTACCTGGCTTCAGCTCTGAGCTCAAACCCCTCCCATCTGAGAGAGCTGGACCTCAGCTACAATCATCCAGGAGACTCAGGACTGAAGCTGCTGTTGGCTGGACTGAAGGATCCATGCTGGAGACTGGACACTCTGATGTATGGCGAGAATGTTTGATAGAGAAGGAAGTTCTGAAGCCTCTGCAGCTCTATCAATTAACCAGAAACAAGTGACATATATCTCAGTATATTTAACAGTGCGAGATATTTTTCTTCCTTTGATACTCATTAGGATTAGATTATTCTCTGAATAGACAGGCCAAGGACATACTGTATTTATGCTAGATTAAAATAAAGACTGGAACCAGGGGTAAACTGTTAGCCTAGCTTCATCAAAAGTAATAAAAATCTTTATTTTACAATGAATGCCATGGTAGAAGCTGTCAACTACAGGGAGATGTTTTCTGTACAGTTAAAGAAATGTGTGTTTGGTTGGTGAGAGACAAGCTGATTGGACAGTGTGTACGTGTCAGGATTGGTGGCTTTTTGAATTGCTAGTGGATGATATTGCTGCTGTTGGTTATTCTCAAATTAAGGATTTAGATTAAGGATTATAGACTTCAGACGAAGGAACGGTGGTAGTCGTACTGACTGATAGCTTGTATAGGTCCGGACCAGTACCCTGCCTGTTTCTGGAAGGTTCTCACAAACAAACCAGTCAGTGTTTGTGACTAGCTGGAACTAGATGTTAAAAGTTTATTTTGTGACCCAGAAAGATTAATAAGAGTAATTTTAAAACTTAGTAGCGGCTGCCATTGCCGGAAACTGGAGTTTGGCTGGACCGGGCTATGAATTCTGGGATATGGTGGGCCACGAAGGACACACCCAACCCATCCTTCAAATTCGGGGAAAAGGAGGACGCATTTGTCGGCTGCATTCGGAGGAGTCTACGAATTTGGACAGCCTTCGGCGCGTCACTGTGACGTAATTGGTCTACAAATGTATCCTCAGGAGGATGCAGCCCATGAATTTGGACACGACTATAGTCTGTCACAGACAGAGAGAAGAGATTTAAACTAATCAGATGTATAATATTCAAATGACTCAGCTCCTTAATTGCCTTTGGCTGCACCTGTGTCAGATGAGCTGTTGAGTTACTAAGGTTACATGAGCTCGATTTGGGATTGGCACATGGTTCATGCAGACCTCAGATAATTACTGAAGTGCTGCTTGGAATATGTGAACATAAGGAGAAAGAGCTGTGTTTTTGTGTCGATACTAGTCAACAAATGTATTGATCTACAATAGTTTTTATACCAAAGTGAAGTGTATGTAGTTAAATCACTCAGAAGTCAGAGGGCATGTACAATAACCACTTATAACCATTTCTAAGAGGAGAAAAATAACTGGCAGCAAAGGCAGGGAGGTGTCCTTTCCAGCTAAACAGAAGAGGAATATAAAGATAATGAAGGTCACAGTTAGAATCTGTCATATTTCATTAAATACAGTGGTGTACTGACAGATCCAGGATCAGTCCAAATCATCAACAGTTTGATCCACGTATGGATTAAAATGTATTTGTGAAAATGTTGGACTGTTCCTTTATCAGTGTCTAACAGTATGTGTATGAGAGCAATGTAATGTCCATGTGTGCATGCTGAAAGAGACTGTGCTGGTCTGACCCCCCTCCTCCTTTCAGGGTGGAGCCTGCTGGAGTCCAATGGTTGACACCAGGTCTGAAGAAGTGTAAGTGTGTTTTTAATGTGACATGTGAAAATAAAGCAGCACACATTCAACCTCTTCAAACTGTCACATCACTCATTCACATCTCTGATAACTGCAGCTGGATTGTGTTTGTTCTCTCCATCAGATTCCTGTCAACTCACAATCGACACAAACACAGTACACACAAACCTCAAACTGTCTGATAACAACAGTAAGGTGACACATGTGGAGGAAGTTCAATCATATCCTGATCATCCAGACAGATTTGATGGTTATCCTCAGCTGCTGTGTAGAAATGGCCTGACTGGTCGCTGTTACTGGGAGGTCGAGTGGAGCAAAAATATTTCTATATCAGTGAGCTACAGAAGAATCGGAAGGAAAGGATACAGTGATGAGTGTAGGTTTGGATTTAATGATCAGTCCTGGAGTCTGCTCTGCTTTGATGATGGTCCTAACTATGTCAGGCACAATAAGAGACAAACATTCATCTCCTCATCCTCATCCTCCTACTCCTCTGTCTCTAACAGAGTAGCAGTGTATGTGGACTGGCCTGCTGGCACTCTGTCCTTCTACATAGTCTCCTCTGACACTCCGATCCACCTCTTAACCTTCAAAACTACATTCACTGAAACTCTTTATCCTGGATTTTGGGTTGGTCCTGCTTCTTCAGTGTGTCTGTGCTGAGTTGAGTATAAAGAGTGTCCTCATGTTAAAGAAATACTCTGACTATTGAAAAGATAGTTAAGTCTGTACATGTCTGTCTCTTTCACTCAGAAACATGTTTTCAGATTCATGGATTCAATCAGTTGATGTTTTAAACTGTTCTAAATGATTACTTGTAAATTTCTTCCTCATCAGTCCTTTAAAGATGTAAGCTACGATTATTCAAGGATCCACATTTTGCTTCACATTTTCAAGCTTCACAATGAATATTAGTACGTTGTGTCACTTTATTATTATCAAACAATAATAATAATAATAATAATAATTATATATATACATATAAAAAACACCCAGCACGCCCCTGCGGGCGGTTTATCCTTCAAGCTCGGGTCCTCTACCAGAGGCCTGGGAGCTTGAGGGTCCTGCAGTATCTTAGCTGTTCCCAGGACTGCGCTCTTCTGGACAGAGATCTCCGATGTTATTCCCGGGATCTGCTGGAGCCACTCGCCTAGCTTGGGAGTCACCGCACCTAGTGCTCCGATTACCACGCGGACCACCGTTACCTTCACCCTCCACATCCTCTCGAGCTCTTCTCTGAGCCCTTGGTATTTCTCCAGCTTCTCGTGTTCCTTCTTCCTGATATTGCTGTCATTCGGAACCGCTACATCGATCACTACGGCCGTCTTCTTCTGTTTGTCTACCACCACTATGTCCGGTTGGTTAGCCACCACCATTTTGTCTGTATCTGGAAGTCCCACAGGATCTTAGCTCGGTCATTCTCCACCACCCTTGGGGGCATCTCCCATTTTGACCTCAGGACTTCCAGGTTATACTTGGCACAGATGTTCCTGTACACTATGCCGGCCACTTGGTTATGGCGTTCCATGTATGCCTTGCCTGCTAGCATCTTGCACCCTGCTGTTATGTGCTGGATTATCTCTGGGGCATCTTTACACAGCCTGCACCGGGGGTCTTGCCTGGTGTGATAGATCCCAGCCTCTATGGATCTTGTGCTCAGAGCTTGTTCTTGTGCTGCCATGATTAGTGCCTCTGTGCTGTCTTTCAGTCCAGCTTTGTCCAGCCACTGGTAGGATTTCTGGATATCAGCCACCTCCTCTATCTGCCGGTGGTACATACCGTGCAGGGGCCTGTCCTTCCATGATGGTTCCTCGTCTCCCTCCCCTTTCTTGGGTTTCTGCTGCCTGAGGTATTCACTGAGCACTCGGTCAGTTGGGGCCATCTTCCCAATGTATTGTTGGATGTTCGTTGTCTCATCCTGGACTGTGGTGCTGACACTCACCAGTCCCCGGCCCCCTTCCTTCCGCTTAGCGTACAGCCTCAGGGTGCTGGACTTGGGGTGAAACCCTCCATGCATGGTAAGGAGCTTTCTTGTCTTTATGTCAGTGGCTTCTATCTCCTCCTTTGGCCAGCCTAATACCCCAGCAGGGTACCTGATCACGGGCAGGGCGTACGTGTTGATGGCCTGGATCTTGTTCTTACCATTCAGCTGACTCCTCAGGACTTGCCTGACCCTCTGCAGGTACTTGGTGGTTGCAGCTTTTCTAGCGGCCTCTTCATTCATATATATATATATATATAGCGAGAGAGAGAGAGAGAGCGATAGATAGATATAGATAGATAGATAGATGATGATTGATTTGTACAGTCATTTATGGTATTTATTATACAGTAATACTTAAAGCTGTTGACTTGTGACTGTACAAAACAGATGTGATTTGAGTCAAAGTTCAAATGTTCCAGATGTTTTCAGTGTCTCTGATGATTCAATGTGAAAAAGGAAAAAATGAACAATTGGGAGCAAGCAAACGTTAACATGCTGATATTGTACCTAAGTAAAGCATTTGGTCGGACTGCAGTGAATATGAACTTTGATTTTTAGTGAATGAACCTTTTTCCTCTCATCATCTTATGATATTAGAATATTTCAAATCAATCAAATGTATTTGAAATGTCAGATTTAAAGTCATGAAATTCTTGAAATGTTTGTTGTATATGCTATAAAATTGCACTGTAAAATGTGCACTACAGGAAAACTCAGTGGAATGCATTAAGCTCTAACTGTACTTTAACAAGTTTCCACAGGGACTTCAGCCTTCAGCTGATCCAAAATGCTGCAGCAAGAGTACTGACAGGGACTAGAAAGAGAGAGCAGATTTCTCCTGCATTGGCTGAAATCCACAATTTATAATCCTGCTCCTCACAGTCTCAAGTAATCAGGTCCCATCTTATATTATTCATATTTTCTATGAAATATGTTTCAAATCTCATATGATCAAATCTCATGAACCCATGTTAGCGCTTCTTCCTCCTCCTCTTCCTTACACACTAGAGAGTTTAGGTGTACACCTTATGTCAAAATTTGATTGATGACCCCAGCCTTGACTGGCTAATCGATTCCAGATGTGTGACTAATCGCATCTGGTGGGAAAAAAGGAGGGGCGGTTTCTGGGGGGATCAGAGAGGGAGGGTTCCTGGGGCATGGAGAGTTCAGGGGGGTAACGCAGCAGATTTCTGATGAGTCAGTGCTGTATAGAGAGACAGAGCGGCAGTTCGTTTTTCACAGACAGACTCATAGTTTGAATTCTGTTTAAATGTTTCAATATTATGACAATGATCTTGATAACCATTTTCTCAGTAAAGAACTATTTCTTTTTTCAATAGTGGCTTTATTTTGATTTATTACGTTAATCTTATTACAGACGCAATAAAATAAAAACCTTTAAGATTATCAGACTAGTAACGGATTGCATTTATATAGCGCTTGGTGGAGGTGTGGGGATTATATAATTTTAATATCATATTTTTTCGTTTATATCCTGTTTATTAAGCTTTGAGTAGTGGCATTTGATTAAAACATTTATTCAATATATTACACATATAGTTTCAATCATGTTATTACACATATTGCAAAAATGTGCTCATAAAAGAGTTGGCCTTCTGTCTGGTGAGAGGTTACAAGCTTCATCTGGTGAGGTGAGAGGTGAGACAGAGTGCAGTGAGGTCGAGACAGTTCGCCTGCATACACAGACAGTATATAGATTCATTTCTAGGTTAGAGTTAAGACATATTTGGCTTGTAACTGCATTTTGTGCCTGCATAAGCAACAGTTTTGTAGAATGTGTTTCTGATGTTCCAGAGATAAGCGAGAGTAAGAAGATCAACAGGAAGCACCTGGCGTGGAGACGGAGAAAATGTCTTTTTGAGTGTGTGTCAAAGGTTGTCAGCAGAAGAGCTGTGGTTACTGTAACTTATGCATGTTGTGTATCTGCTTTGACGCATACCCTGACATATAAAAACATTTTAAGTATGCTTTTTTGGGGGATTTATGCTAAGGATTGTGATGGTGTATTTCCTCCACACATGTGTTTAATAAAATCATTGTTTTGACACACTTGGACCAGCAGTCATTTGTCTCACACCTCAATCACGAATCGGGACAGTTTTTGGTGCCTTGACCCAGATTGAGGAGGGACGTTGTTTGGTGGTTCGGACGAAGGAGGCTGAGGTTCAGTGGTCAAACGGACGGAGAGGAACCAGCAGGTCGACTGAGTGATGGGCCCTTGGTAAGAAAGGTAAGGCACTGCCTATTGATTAAACTAAATATCTAAAAGGTGCTGAATTGGAAATAAAACTAAATTAAATGTCCACTCAGTAGAGTTTCTGGTGAAATGTCCGTGGTGATTTTGGGTAATTGGTGATAAAAGTAAAAGTTTGGGGAATATTTGACTGACAAAATTTATTGCTGTTAATTCTGGGTTGTATTTTAAGTTGATGTGATATGTGTTTAAGTTGATGTGTTATGTTCATTGAGTGTGACGTCAGCCAAGAGAAGAGATTAGATTAGGGCATTTGGATAATTGACTAGAAATAACATCAGATAAATAACCTGGCAGTTAGAGTCCACAGTGATGTTTTTTAAAATTATTTAAATTACTTAGGATGGAGACGGGGTACTCTAGGGGTGCAAAGTTCTGAGTCTTATGACTCCATCTTGCGGCGGACGCGCTGCAATTTCCTGCAGGTGACTGGGTTAATTCGGGTGATACCCGCGACAGGTAGGGACAGTTGTTAATAATCAGTGGTCAAGTACCACTTTTCTTGCACCATTTGACCAACAGAGGGGGGCCCTCGGGCGTGACCATTTCAAACGTGGACGGCAGGTAATCTTACATAAAGCTCCAGACGCCAACAGGACGCTGGGGTGGGGTTCCTGTTGAACTGCGGGAAGCGCTTTTAAATTAAGTTAGGATCGGGTCACTGCCCCGGGCAGATAACGGCTATAATTGACCAGGAAGGTGGGCAAACCTGGGCTTAGAGGCTTTTAAACTTGTCGAAAAGTTAGCTGTACCGGTACAGAGGTTTTGAAGAAGTGATATGGAAATGCTGAATAATTTGTCTTGGCATCTGGTGTCTTTTGTTATGGTTATACACGTCTGAACATATAATTTAGTGTAAATTGGTTGTTTAAACTGCGTGATTATAAGTGGGTGTGGTGTGAAAGTGATTTGATACAGAAGCTGAGTACATGAGGATAAAACAAACTACTGTGTGAAAAGTGCTGTGTGAAATTTGCTGGTGAAAAGCTGAAAGACTTGATAATATGTTGCTGAACTGTGTTAAATTGTGGTGAACATTTCAAGTGTTTTTTAAGTTTGAAGCTTGTGAACAGGTGAAGCGCTGAATTTTTACTCCCTCCCTCTCTTTTTACTCCTGTAAAAATAGAGAATTGCTGATTTTTTTGCTAAGTATATAATTGAAAAGGAATTATTGTGTGATTTGTGGTTGATATTTTCATTTGGCCTAAGAAGGCAGAAGTGTGCTGTTTATTTTTTGACATTTTATTTGAAGCGAGTTGTTTGATTTATGTCTTCTCCCTATTAAGAGTAGAAGAAGCGCGTGTACAGGGGATTTATTTCTATTTTT